CCGTGGTGGGAAACCAATACACAAAAGATCGGTGTTCATGAAACAAGCAACAAGTGGGTTGTTTGGGTGCTGATTAAGCCACTGGAGGTGTGGGGAAGAGCGCAATCAAATCACAATCAGCGCCCCTCTCCTATTCGTGGGAACATTCAAGTGAATAACTATACAGGGCTGTTTCAATGCAAGGCTTGTGTATAGAAATACATATATATATATATACATAATATATATATATATATGTATAAAAAGCAAGAAATGGGCACCTTGTTCGGTACTTGTTTGTTTTCAAACCTCCCCCTCCAAGCATAACCAAAACAGCGAAGAAAGGCTCTCTTCCGTGGCTTGGCCCAAAACGTCGCTCATTTGCTTCCTCCGGCCGAGCAAGCGGAAGGTCCATAGACCTTTTGCAGAGTCTGTCTCAAAACAGAGAAGCCCTTGTTGGATGGCCCTAAAAGGGGCACCAAAAGGAAACCATCCACCTGGAGGGGTCCCTAATTTTGAGAAGCTCCCAGGTTTGGCAAAGCTTCGGTCACACCAAAGACCAAACTCAGCGGTGCCTTTCACTGACCACTCGTCCCCATGGCCCTTCTCTTCGCTTTCCGTCGGACCGGCGCCCGGCACGGCAGCTTGAGCCGGGAAACGCCGAATGACTTGTGTGGGGTTTTCTATGGATCCCAACCCAACCCTCGTGGTGGAGAATACGGCCCACAGGGTTTTCAACAGGTTTCCCGAAATTTCCCACTAGTTCTTGAACCAGCAGGGTTCCCTAAACTGCCCCTAACATCGCTCGCCAAATGGACGCCTTTTTCAAACTACCCAAAAGGTGGTGAGACCCTCCCAAGGGTATCCGGGGGATACGGCTGGTTGTTTAAAAATCATGATGGTTAACATGAATGAGGAATTAACCCTTGGAAGAGTGATTTGCGCAGGTTCCTTTGAGTTTCCTTTTGAGATAATCCAAAGGGCGGGTTCGCTTGGCTAGCGGGTCCTTTCCTTTTGTTTTCCAGTAAAACCATCGAATGGTTCCATTGCCGATGTTTCCCAGCATAGGGAGCGCCTTTGATGACTGGTGTCACTAGCAGGACCCTGAAAAACCAGGTCCTTCTTGATGTTCCTCTTGGTTTTAAATGGAGGATCGATCCGCCAATGGCCTGTTTTCTTTCTTTTCTTTTTTTGTTTGTGTGTGTGTGTTTGGTTGTTTGTTTATTTCTTTATTTCTGTCTTTCTTTCTTTCTTTCTTTCTTTCTTTCTTTCCTTTTGTTTGGTTGTGTGTTTGCTTGTTTGTTTGTTTGATTGTTTTTTTTGGTGTGTGTGTGTGTGCGCCTGTGCGCTTACTTCTTCTGTGGAGGGGGTCTAAGAACATTCAGGAATACTGCCACAAAAACACATGGGTATCTCAATCCCAGGACACGCCAAGAGTTTTCTCAAAAGTGTGACACCGGGTCCACAATGACGGCCCTACGTCTAACCTCGTCCAATACGCCCCACTTGGGACGAAAACAAAACACCGGCATATTATTCCCCAGTGCTTCCACCTACCACTAAGTGCATAACCAGCTAGCCCTGGTTACCTGCTTTAGTGGAAACTGGAGACACTGGGTTCCAGTAGTGATTCCCTTCAGAAGCAACAGGGGAACGCTATACAAAACAATTCTTTCGCTCATTGACCATTCAAAGTCATCCTTGAGGTTGGGAAAAAGGCCCCAAGCGTCTCAGCCTGCAGTTCTAACATCACTCAAACGGGAAGCCTGAAAATTTGGCCCAGGTGAGATTTAACGCCTCTCCCGGCAGATAGAAATTCAGGGTCCCGCTCCCCGGGGCTGAAGTCGGAGTTGTGGACGTAGGGTCAAATTGGCTGTGGTGGTCAAAAATAGAGTAACCCCAAAATGGGTTGCTCTGGCAAATGGAAACATGGACTAAAATCTGCAGTCCCCTGATGGCAAAAAAAATGACCCATGGCCGGTTCCGTTTTGGACCCTGGTGCCATCTTGTGCCGCTGAAAAAAAAACGTCAAGGGAATCATGTTGACCCCGGAGTAATAAATCCATCGTTAATAGGGGGGTTCCATAAAAGTGGTCTGAATCCCCACTGCAAGGAGACACCCCCCGACCAAAAGTCAACCAGGGGTTTATTAATCCGGGTTCAACATTGCCGGAAAGGGCCACTGAGTTGGACAACCCCTCCCCCCCAGGTTTTGAAAAGAGACCCCAGCGATGCGCGCGGTTCTTTTTGTGTCGCTCGGCAGATCCGCCGGGTGAGAAACGAGAGTAACGAGAATGCTTGCGAAAGTCCCATTTGCTAAGCTGGTCGCCTGGAATTAAGCTAAACCAGGCTCCTTCAAGGTTGAAAGCTTGGAATTGGAAGCGTGATGATTTAGTATGGGGGCAAGTATTTGGAACTTTGACGATTCGGGGCAGGGATTGCGGTGGATCCATTGGCGTAGTCTAAGTTAGGTATTGGGGAACAATTTTGCAGGGGAAAGGACATAATGGGAAACCCGGATTTACAAACCCGCTGATTCCCATACAGTGGGGGTTCATCCCGTTTGGACGGGCCCCCACACTCTATCACTAGAATCGGTTTACACTAAGGAGTATCCTTGGCACGAGATATTCCGGATACCTCGCAAGCAGGTCACGTCATCAACCTACAGAGCTGTCCCTTAAGCTGAACAGCTCTGGACAGGCCACTTGCTACGCGTTCTCTAGTTCCCTGTTGAACAAACACAAACAAATCTGCGTGCTTCCAGGCAAGCCACTGTAGTACGCAACCAGGGTTTCCAACCTCTAAGGTGTTTAACTGCTTCAAAGGATGGCTTGCCCTAACCTCGTATAGCGGCCATTGGAAGCAGTGCAGTTCTCCCATCTGGAAGCCAATCAATCGAACCATTTTCGTCCTGGACTGGGTCTGTGTCTCATTCCGTCGCGAGAGACTCACGCGACTCACGCGAATCTGTGCATTATCACGGCCCTGGGTATCCAACGGCCGACCGATTCGCCGATCGGCCAACAACCCGACCCGCCAAAGCACGAAAAACTGGAGCTCCGAGCTTGGCACCGGACCCATCTTCCACGCCCCTGAGAAAAGATTTGGCCTTTGGCCAATCCTCCATTTGCAATAATAGGAACATCAAGAAGGACCTGGCTGTTTCAGGGTTGTGCCACAAACCAACAGTCGTGAGACGGAGATTTAAACAAATGGTTGGTTTTCCTGATAAGCCCGCATGTGTTTGTCTGTACATGTGCAAGCGCACGAAACGAATGGTTTCCCCTTGAGCTTTGGTTTCCCGTTGAAACAACCAAAACAAAAAATGTACGTACCCGGACCCTCGAAAAATGACACACCTGGGTGGTTGACACTTCTTGACGATCAGAACTCATGTTTGGAGTGGATTGGCCAAACAAGGTGGATGCTTGTTGCTTCCCACTACTGTTGTTTTCCCAAACAGTGAAACTAGCCCAGAAACTCAGGGAGTAAAACCTGCTGATATGAAAGTGGCCTCCCTCCCCCCCCCAAAAAAAAACTGTCCAGGAACAAAGCACGTGAGAGAAAGATTTCTGCCCGTGGGGGCACGTGGAAAGTCAATTGATCGAACTGAAGTAAGTTGAGCAAACAAGGCTTGAGAAGGCTTGAGAAGGCTTGACGAGCTAATTGCGTGAAGAGAATAAATCAAAGTATACCAGCCTCGCTCTTTCAAGAACCCTGACAAACCAGGTCTTTCTTGATGTTCCTCTTGTTTCAAATGAGCGACTCTATAAACCTCCCATGAATCCCTATGTCGTATCAAGTTGCTTACGCGCAAGCTTGCGCTTTCCTTACGCGACCCATGTTTTAGCTTACGCGGCAGTCAGACAGCATGTAAAGCTTACGCATCGCTTACGCGTCGAATTGCTTACGCGGGCTTCTTTTCCCGTGCAGCCGCCAGAACTGTTGAAGATGATGTTGATGACTGTGTGGAAGAGATGACGAAGAATTACGCTCGCGAGCTTCAGCAGCTTGGCGTTGTTGTTTTTGCTGCAAATCAAGAAACAGGTTTTTGCGGTAGCGGCATCCATCACGAGGGCTAGCGGGCAGCTGAGCTAGGCGAGCTTACGCGAACCTTACGCGCCTGCTTACGCGAGCTTACGCGCCCGCGCCCCTGTAGTTTTCCTAAATCAGCGGCTACTGAAGCCTTTGTTTGTCCTAGTGGAGGTTGCGACAGCACCTAGCATGAGCCCCAAGAGCTCCCAATCAAAGTTCTGCTGGGTTTTTTTTCTATTGGTGCGCACATGCGGTCTTAGATGCAGCCAAAGTCCTCCGGGCAAGTTGCCAAGCTCGACTAGGTTGCAACAGCACAAGCCACCAAAAAACGCATAAGCACATGTGGGACAACTCTTCCGAGCATGCTTACAAAGCTTACCAAGCAATCACGAAGAAGAGCTTACGCAGGTGCTTACGCAACATGTTTCCCCAACAAGTGCTTACGCCCGCCTGCGCCGTGCAGGCTTTTGCTTACGCGGGGCCTTGCTATGACACAACTCTTGCTTGGCATGTAACGGGGGGTTTTTAGAGCTGCTCAAATGGAGGATCAGCCAATGCAGGATCTTGGAAGACCAGGGCAAGTAGGTTCCAGGCTTCTAAATACATTGTTGTCATATGATACAAGCTGGAAGCTGTTTCTCAGACCCCCTTTGTTCATAGTCTCTTCTGAAAAACCTATGTCAGATTTTGCCACGCAACCGACGACAACATATTTGATTCGAATTTGGCGGGACCCTCAGAGGTAAATTGACAACGGAGACCTCAGAGGGAAGGCATCCTCCAGGAGAAGCCGTACCATTGGAGCCAAATCAAGACCTGGTATCACAATGGTCGGCCCAAAACCAAAGTCAAACGGCCGCACCTATGGTTGGGACCACCCTTCTCCAAAACCTACCCGGGTTTTGATTCGGCTCCTGCTTCGGGGCGGCTTTGTTCGAATGTTACGAGAGCTGAGCCCGGCACTTTTAAGCGCCGGCGTGGTCTTACAGCAAGTCCTGAGGATTGGGCGATGACTTCTGCGAATTCTCAAGGTCTTGGGACCTAAACAAAGATAGAACGGACCTTTTTGAGGTCCAACCCCTTGCGGGGAAGGTTAATGATGACTCAGGGTTGGCAACAAAACATGAACGTATCATTTGCGACTAAACGCGCTTCCCGGCAAAACAGACTGTGGAGGGACAAGATCCTGCACTAGCTGGGATGGATCAAACTCATGAATACTGGGATAAGCCACCTACCGAGTGTCGCAGTTTGTCCATCCACAGTATCACCCCCGCAATTTGAAAATTGCATCTGGGGTTGTCTTTGTTTCTTCGGGAACGCTGAGAATGGCGTTCGGTCTTCAAAACCACAAAACGAATGGTACCAAAAAACGTAGGGAACTCCCACAAGCACACAACATCTTGGAACACTCACAACAGTCCGCCCCCTGTTGTGCCCGACCCGGAGAGATGCTGACAAGACCGGTCGGAACAAACAAATGGGTCCGTCTCCAAATTAGGGACCCCGCGTAGTTGAAATGGGTACCCCAAAACAAAAAGACAACCCCACATGCTCCCATTGTTGGCAATTTCCAGGTATTCCCAGGTCCTAGGTCAAGAAACGAAAAGACGAAAAGCAACAAGATAGCAACTATTACTCTCCTGAACATCTTGTCATGGAACCTGAACAAGGGCCACCTCCCCCAAAAGGAGATATCGCCATGAGTGCATGGATGTCACGTTACCTCCTTTCCAGTCATCCAGGTGCAGGACTGGCCTTGGAAGCTGACGCAAGTTCTGGCTGCAACCATTCTACGGGCCGCTTCTCTGGGATCCATGTTGATGTACGACAGGGTAAGTCCTGGAATCGGCAAGTGGATTCTTGAAGGCACTTATCTAGTCCCTGACCAGGTGCTTCCAGCTACCACTTTAAGAGGAAACCAGCCATGGTAACACCTAGAAACGCCACAAAAAGCACTGGCTTGAACTAGGGATCCCTCCATTTCCCTCACTTCCTGAGGGCCCCCCAACGTTTTGTTCACCATAAAAATGATCCAAACTCAAGTGACTCAAGTCCAGAAACTCAGGGAGTGCCTTCTCCTTTGGTTGGACCTCCCGTCAGTGGACATCGGCTCCCCCACCCCACAGGTCGCCGTCCTCGTCTGTGCTGGCCATGTCGAAGATCTGAGCGCCCGGAGGGGCCTCAGTTGATGGAACCAGCCCCAAATGGCTAGCTCGTTATTCCGAAGCGGGGGGTTGTTGGAAATGTTTATATCTATATATATATATATATTCAAAACATGTTGTTTAAACGTTTTTGCCAGGGAATGTGTTACAGGAGGACCCCCTAATGGTTGCCTTCTTGTGTTTTTTCTTCAATGCCTTTGCCGGGGCCCGGTTACAACCAATGACCCACAGGATCAGGATCCCTCCAAACAGAAAGGGAGTTAGAGGCAGGAATTCACTGAGGGAAAAAGGAAGGGGTAACACCCAACAGCTGAGTAAATGGAATGGACCAACATGAAACACAATGGTTTGCGTTCTTCGGGCGACCTAAAAAAACCAGGGAAGCCATCAAAGAAGCCATTTTGTGTCTTGATGTCTGGGATGTTTGAAGCGGCAGCCCTGGGCTCACCAGGGTTGCGCTATTGCGGGCTTGATAGGCAAGCCTCGTAAATCAAATTGAATTCCGGTCACATCCAGTCGCTTCGCTTTTGGACGGGCTGAGCCCATCTGATTCTTGGGGCTTCCCTGATATCAATTGAACTTCGTCCGCGGACACGGTTTTGTCACAGCTGCTCGCGCGGGCTTCACGGGCATGTTTTGGATATGTCTACTTCCGTGGCCAGAAGGCGATTGCTCTTGGGCTTCTGTTGTTGCAACACGTAAACCGTCCTCGAAGTTTCCGCGAGGCAAACCCTTCCGGAAACCTTCCACGACTGCAGCCTCAGGCAAATGTTGCAAGAGTTATGCCCACACACTTACATGTAGTTACGTGTGCCGGGGAAGGAAAACAAAACTCATTTGCCAACAGGGTTCTGATTGAACAAAATAATGCCGACTGGGTTCTGTGCGTCTGGCACCTCAATCCGAAAGAAATCATGCCGTCACTTTGTTGGCCCAAACATGTGCTTCCCAGAACAAGGGATGGCTTTTGGCTGGTCTTTGCAAGAAAACGTAAAGGAACTTCTTTTAACGTTTCATTGCCTATCTGTTCGGCAAACCCAAACAAGAGAAGCAGCCAAGAGAGCCCCGCACAGGATTTCTATCCCTGAATCCAAAATGGGGTGTCTCTCTTTAGTGGGGATTCATCACTTTTGAAGGATAGCGCCCCAGAAAGAATAAGGACAGGTTTATTATTCCGAGGTCAAATTACTGCAAACGTCCACATAAGAAGAGATGTCCAATGAGAAAGTCCGAGAACCGCCGTGCAAAAACCTCTGCCGTATCACTGGGGCTCGCGAGGCCAGACAAGTGAAATAGATAGAATGGGGCTGTGGGGGACCTTAAAACCAAATTTCGCCGTAGTTACAAGAGCAAATTCTTAGTTGTCTCGCCTGGTGCCCTACAAAATCCAGTATTTACGCCCTAGAAAGCACTCACCGGAGCGGGGGCCCCGGTGACCCAACTCCAGGCTTTGAAGTGAGTCTCCTTCTGACCCTTCAATCATAGGGACGCTCCTTTCTTTCAAAGGGGGTCCTTAAAACGGTCTGTGTCCGCCTGGCTTCCCTTCAATTTCCAAGCAAACGGGCGCCACAATTCTTGAGAGAAACCTCCATGCTGTCCCCAGCAAACCCTCGGAAAAGCAAACTTCAACTGTTTGGAGCCCCTTAAATGGCGTCTTCTTATTCAGGGAGCCCGAAAAAACTCAAACCACTGGATTTGGAAACAAACTCCCTAAAAGAACCTCGAAATAGATCTCAGTTTCCCTCTGCTTCCCTTTAAACCAGCCCTGAAAAAGGGCACCCCTACTTTTTGAACAGAATCCAGTTCGCACCAGCGCAGATGCCACCAATCCCAATTGAAGCCTGCGTGTGGTCGAGCCCCGCATCTCACCATTCCTCATGCCGGTAGAACCTGCTCACGCACAAGAGCATGTTCAGGTAGCCCTTCTTTGCGGCAAAATAGTTGCTTCCAATCGGCTTCCGCACCAACAAATGCTCATGAGGGACGTACTGCAGACTTTTCACATCAACCACCGGCACTCTGGTCATCTGTGCACGGGCGCGTTGGCACGCAAGCTGAATTTCGTGACGTATCACGTCCCGCATGATGTCTGCTGGCCGTTGCCGTGGTCGGAATCAACCCCTCTAAATGGGTAAGCCCTTTTGCTTTTGCCAGGGACCGTTGATTTTCAATGGGGGTTCCTCCCCCAAGCAAAGAAGAAGCAACAAGGGTACCACTGGCCCACCCCAGTAGAAATACACAATGTTGACCCAGCAGGGTGCTTTGCTCTGATTCCCCACTACTCCCAGGGACACCCCAGGGACAACCCGATAATAAGCCGGGCTTGAAACAATGTGAGATCAGCATTAGGGAAGATTACTATATGGCACCAATCTTGCTGGTGCTCAGGGAATGAGAAATAAAATGACCCCCTTTAAAAGAACCATTCAACCGGCGGTTTCCTTTCTTCGAAAACCGGTTCCTTCCGACTCGTGGGCTCTCGATTCGACGATTCGTCTGAGGTCCCCCGGCCAGACGTGGCACCGCCTGGTTCTGCGCTGCGCGCGCGGCGGCGCCTGCAAGGTCGGCTTTGGTTTTTTGGTGATCGAGGTCGTCTGGTGGACCGGATGGAGGTGTTAGATTTGGTCTTGTGAAAGCACAAAATCCGGAAAAGGGGGGGGTTCCTGGAGTCGCCCTGACCCGAAAAAAAGAGGGGGTCATGAGCCAAAAGAAAAGGGTGACACCATGCAAGGGTGAAGCCTTCAGGTTCCCTTTTCTCCCAACCGCTGGTCTTCCAAGGACAACCACCACCCAACCTCCAAATAGATACCAGCTTTTCTCGCCCGCGATTTTCACCCAACTTGCAGGAAACAGGTGTCCATTCCTCCAGCCGTGGATCCCCAAACCAGCACCAGAGTCTGGGCATCAGTGGATGACCTTTGAGGGTCCGCAAACACGACCATGCGACAAACTGAGGGACCGCTTGCTGGGAGTTCCTAGCTGCACATCTTGGTTTGGGCCCCGGACAGGAGCTATGAAACAGACCAAATTCAGGAAGGTGCTTTTCATAGGACTTGTTCAATTGCGGGGTGATCTAGTACTCACTCATCCAGATTTGTGTGGTAACCACCTGTTGGATTGAAACGAAGCGCGTGCCCGACGGTGAATGCAAGAAAGAACCAGGGGTTCGACCCCCAATCATTCATCCCACAGCACGAATGCAGCGTTGCGTAGCAAACTTTCCAAGACTCCCTTGAAAATACATGCCCTTATGACAGCTGTCTGTGTCAGGCAAATCCTTTCAAGCTACAGATCAATCTTTCAAATCCCAGGCCGTCCTGACGGCCATCATGACCGTGGGCCAGCCGGTTCCAACCCGTAAAAAGCAAACGGACCCCCCACATGGACATGGGTGTCTTTTTTTGCGGGGACCCCTGAAACTGGGTGGGCTTCCTTTTAGTGTCCCTTGAAAACCACAGCGAAAGGCACCCTCAAAAATTAATCCCTTCATGGGAACTGCGTGTTGCTGGCAATTCGTTCAGCCAGAAACAGCGGGGAAAGAGGGCATCTCGTGTTTTGAAGGTACATGGAAACTAAAGAAGCACCACCTCGAACCCTGTTGGGAGGTAGCACATGTTTCTTGAGACGAACCCATGTGTATCTCAGCTGTTGCTCACCCCAAAATGTTTGATTCCAGTCCATGTTCGGTGAAGCTCAAAAGAGATCCCAGGCTTACGAAGCAAACCATGGACACAAACACACACAACACACATCACCTTCAGGTAGGATTGTCTCGGTATGGAGACCCTCCCTGTAAAACACGTGGGCGGGGTTTCCTTACTTGTTGAGTGGCCAGACAAAATCAATCTGTTTGTTTTCCCCTGAAGTCTGGGCATAGTGCCGCCTTGATCATTCTCCCCAGTTGATTTGCTTGCCCAGTTCATTGGTTGGTTTTCACGATCAAACTTCCCAAAAAAGGTATCTATTTGGAGGCTGCATGGTGGTTGTTCCCCACATCTTTGTATGGGGTTCTTACTTTTACCGCTGCGCGCCCGCGCCCTCCGCCGCCCGCCGTGCACTCACTCACTTTCTCACTCACTTACACACTCACTCCACTCACTCCACTCCACTCCACTCCACTCCACTCCACTCCACTCCACTCCACCCCACCCCACCCCACCCCACCCCACCCCACCCCACCCCACCCCACCCCACCCCACCCCACCCCACCCCCCCACCCCACCCCACCCCACCCCACCCCACCCCACCCCCACCCCACCCCACCCCACCCCACCCCACCCCACCCCACCCCACCCCACCCCACTCCACTCCACTCCACTCCACTCCACTCCACTCCACTCTTGAAAGGAGAGGCAGAGATTGATTTGGCTCATTTGCAGGATGTTAGCCAGCAAGGTTTCTCAGCGCTTCTGGCGGCTGGACAGACCCAACACGAATCGCTCTTGAGAAAAGAAGTTGCGCTGCGACTGCCAGACATGTGTCACTCGCAATTAGCGCATCTCACAGGTTACCGAGCATGCGTCCGGGTCACGCGGACCTGTGTTTTGCAAGGCTAGACATGTGGGGTTCTCCGGCCCTGCAATTTCTGGAAGTCCAGCGGTCTGAACAGGGGAACCTGGAGCCTTTGGGTTGAGAGGGTGGACTCGTGAACGGCCGAGTCTTGGATCTGGCCCATTCCCCCGCGCCTATCACGACTCTGGGCTCTTCCCGCTCAGCCCTGGCAGGGCTCTCCCAAAATCGGGGAAGGGCGAGCCGGGGTTTTCTGGGCCCACAAAAGTGGGGTACTCCCCCAAATTAACAGAACCAAAAAAGCAAATTGCAGAGAAAGCTCGCGGGAAATGGACCTTGTTTGGGGCTTCTTCTGTTGATTTGCAATGGAATAGAAAGAAAAATGGAAAGCACAAACAAATCGGATTGTCTGTTGCGAGTGCTGCTGTTTGGGGAATAGCTTTGGTGTGAACCGTGGCACAGGCCATGGTTGTGGAGCCAAGCTTGATCCCCTTCGAGGTTGTTACATTGTTCACACTGCCATAGCAACATTCTATGTTGCGCCGGGTTACGGGCAGTCGTGACCATCTTGGCTGCTATGTGGTTGGATCTCTAGACGTTAAACTGTTTTGGACATACTGATGCTCGAACCAACTATATTCACAGCAAACATTTCAACCTTTGTGAGGACCAAGGGTGGACATGATCTGACTTTAAAGTCACAAGGTCAGAAATTTATGAGACCTTCCCAGCCCCTCCCGAGCATCTCCCCGCGATTCGTCCCTTCCATTCGTTCGGACTGGAACCTGCACGGAACTGTTATTACCCCAACTTAACCCACGCGAATTGACCCTAAGGCAAAACAACGCTTGCGTGTTTTGCGAGGCAACCCAGTTCTTCCGGTTACCACTGCAGTAGGTAACCAAGGGACACCAGTAATTATGTAGAACCTAGAGGCAAGAAGCCCTGGTTGGCTACTATAGTGGTAACTGAAATGAACGCGCTGAGTAATCCTTCCCAAGATGGGTACCAAGGTAGAGCTCTCTCATCCCGTTCAAAAAGACTCACTGTCCGGTGTTCAGGTTCTGATGGTCCATGACATTTGGCTTGCCACATGGGTGTGTCTTTTTTCGGGGACCCCCCGCCCCCCAAAACGGTGGTTGTCCTTTTGGTTTTCCCTTAAAGCCATTCACAAATGGGGTACCAACTCAAAAAAAGACGAGCCACCCACATGGATGTTCAAGACGCGATTTTCCCTCGATCCTAACCAAAAGAGTGGCTTTCCTTTGGTTTTCCTTGAACGCTCGCAGTCCGCCAGCCCATCAAAAACGCGTGCGCGCCTGGCGTATGAGGGAGGAGGGTGGTCTTCCTCGTCCTCCAACCCAAGTCTTGGTCAATCCCAGTGCTTGTGATTTGTTCCGCAAAGGACACCGAGTGGTGCAAAGTTTTCAGAAAAACCATCAAACCAGCAAAATGATCGATCCAAAACACGCCAAACACCCAAAAAGGCAACAGTGTTTGTGATTTCTGGAGATTGGGACTGGATGAATAATCAAACACAATACTAAATATGCATTTCAAGGGCTATGAGTAGATCGACTTCACCCAAAGCTTCCGCGCATTTCGCCATCATAGCAACCTGGGGACACCGTTGTTAAACAAAAATTAGAGGTAAAATACCTGAACACGTGCCGTAGTAGTGGCAACTGGCATGAATGATAACCGTATGTAGCAAGTCCCTAAATAGACTAAGCTCATAGAACCCAATTCCAGTCAAGTCTTTACAGGGGAACCGGGCGACACATCAAACGCTAAATCTATGGATGCGCTCGAATTGGGGGTTGAATAGGGGGGTTTGGAAGACAATACATTTCCAAAGGCTAAATACATAAACTTGTATATTACCCATCATATGAAAACGTGCCCTCTTGTGGTTGCCTGGGAAAATCAGTCATTCACCGACTTACTCATGCAGACCTCAGCTTAGGTAGACCAGGGGTCCCCAGTGTGCGATGCTACATGATTTAGTGCAAGCTGGTTCACTAGAACCTGATTCGGGTCCCTGGCATGTTCAACCCACAATGGTTCCATTGTCGATGACCCCGAGGTAGACTTAAACCGGTGCTTGATTTCAACCTGAGTCTACGTCTTGTGGGCACCCCTCACGGCACCGCCCCCATCTTTTTGGAACCAAAGCTCCAAACGACCAGACCACAAAACCCCGAAAACCACGAAAACCACGAAAACCACAACAATTCCCTGGAGAGATCCTGGCACATTGACCTGCAAATTAATATGTACCCAAAAAGCGGGTCTGCTTCCAACAACGGCTTTCCCAAAAGGTAAACCAAACTAGTGATTTCCTGCCAGAAGGAGTACATGTCAGATAAGAATGGTTACTATGGCCTGATGTGTACTTGTGCTCGTTTTCCTAATAACCCTGATCCAAAAGTGAACCACCGGTGGCGTGATAAGAATCGCAAGGCTGTTTGGCTCATTCTAGAAGCCGGGAGGTTCGGCCAAACACCAACGCAACCATTGCTCTTGTCGACCAGCTGCTGATTCCTTTTCTTTTGGTGGTAAAGGTTCGGATCGGGTGCAGAACGACTGGAATTTCCCCAGCTAGTTAACTAGCACTGGGGTCCAAAAACATCCTCCACCCGCCAAAAAGACCGCCTTCTTAGGGGCCCAGAATGGTTGGAAGTCAGCCCTATAAGATCCAAGACTTGAGCGGTATCCTCCGAAAGGGCCCCAAGAACCCTCCCGCTCGGGCGAGAACCCCACGGGTGCCGTCCTCCGCCAGGAAGTCGTTCAGGGACTCCCGCGCACCATCGAAGTCAAAGTCCTCACCCTGCGATCGTTCAACTTTGCATCCCCAGGTCCCAGCTACATAAGCCAAAAAGAAACCATGCAAGAGCCATGATATAAAACCCGGACCCAGTCTCAGTCACTCTAGCAGGTGACCAACATTAACCAACATGTCTCTTCTTGATTGTTGAAGGGCAGTTCTCTTGTTTACCTATACGGGGAAATGGAATCGCTGGCGATCGCTGGGTCCGTTTTGGGATTCCACGGGCAACCAACCCTTTTCCTCTTGGCTTCTTTTCAGGGGAAACTTATTGCCTTTGCCGGGAAATGGAATCACTGGGCGTAACTTGCTTCAGACCTGAGTGTGATTTGTTTTGCGACGAATGGTACCGTGCTTTGTATTGGTACCGTGCTTTGTATTGAAAACCAAAAGGAAACCCGAAGCCCATTTTGGGGTGCAATCAGGAGGGGGGTGGTTGAGAATGAACCGATTGGGGTCCCCAATCGGAAACCGATTTTGTCAGATCTTGTACAGTATTTTTGCCCTCCCCTGAAATGTCAAAGGAGGGGGGTTGCCCACAAGGAGACTCCGGGCTTCATTCGGGGTCCAGTTGCAGCTTACAGGCTTCTCAAAATCCCTTTTGGGGGTGGCTCCCGACACCTTAAACCACCAAGCGTGTCTTGCAAAATCGAAATCGGCGCTGCAAAGGAACATCAATCTTTGTGTGCATTGTTGGTTGCGTTTTTTGGGGGAGAATCATTGGCGGTGCCATTCACGTTTGGTGGATGTGTTGTCCTGTTTTGAACCTGGCTCCCAACTTGTGATGTCGCGGGGCCCATCTGGGTCCTTTTGACTCTTTTTGGGACGAGTTTGGCACAAATCCAAGACTAACCTAACTTTCAGGTAGGCCATACATGTCCAAATCCGACTGCCCTAGTGCCATGTACTTTGACACCTCTGCGAGTATATGCTTCTTGCGCAGGGTACTCTAGCCGAAGGTCTCCCCAGTTAGACCCAAGACCAAATGCGTCAAGGTGAATATCGAAAATCCAAGACCTGCTTCCTTTGGGTTCTATCCAAAACCCACCGTAAAGAATTCCTTTCGGGCGGAGATCAGCAATTGAACGTTGAGGCAAACGTCTAATAGCCTCTATCTGCTCAGGTTTACACAGTACCATGTTGTTTGTTTGAAACAGAAACACACAAACCTGCTGGTGCGGAGTGTATTCTACTAGCCACCCGCAAAAAAAATGCATTCGCAATCACAAATGCGCGCGCTGTGCCAAACCAAGCACAATTCATGACGATGTCCATGTAGAGCCTTCGCTTTCGGGCCCAACAAACACGTAATGGTGCCGAGCCTGAACCCAAGACCATCCACAGCTTCGGGCTTCCCGGCCTTCAGCTTCTCGTAGTCCGGAGGCTTGCTAGACATCAGCCGCCCAAAGCACCTTGGTAAGCAGAAGGGACCCTCCAGAGGGGTCCAGGGGAGCGATTCATAAGGGCTGACCAACAAGGGAAAATCCCACATATTCTTCCCCTTGAAAACCAACAAGGGAAATCCCACAAATTCTTCCCCTTTAAAACCAACAAGGGATAAAACCAACAAGGGAAAATCCCACATATTCTTCCCCTTTAAAACCAACAGAGAAAATCCCGCAAATTCTTCCCCTTTAAAACTAACAAGGGAAAATCCCACATATGCTTCCCCTTTAAAACCAACAAGGGAAAATCCCACATATTCTTCCCCTAAAAAACCAGCAATGGAAAATCCCACATATGCTTCCCCTTTAAAGCCAACAAGGGAAAATCCCACACAGTCTTCCCCTTTAAAACCAGCAAGGGAAAATCCCACAAATTCTTCCCCTTTAAAACCAACAATTGAAAATCCCGCAAATTCTTCCCCTTTAAAACCAACAAGGGAAAATCCCACATATGATTCGCCTTTAAAACCAACAGAGAAAATCCAACATATTCTTCCCCTTTAAAACCAACAAGGGAACATCCCACATATTCTTCCCCTTTAAAACCAACAATGAAAAATCCCACATATTCTTCCCCTTTAAAACCAACAAGGGGAAATCCCACATATTCTTCCCCTTTAACACCAACGAGGCAAATCCCACATATTCTTCCCCTTTAAAACCAACAAGGGAAAATCCCACATATTCTTCCCACTTGAAAACCAACAAGGGAACTCCCACATATTCTTCCCCTTTAAAACCAACAAGGGAAAATCCTACATATTCTTCCCCTTTAACACCAACAAGAGAAAATCCAACATATTCTTCAGCAAACGGAACGCACACCAAAACCCCCCGGCCGAGCCGACGCCCAAAATCCCCTCTCGGCTCCGGCGCCCGCAGAGCGCGGCGGCGCAGTGCAGCAGCTGGGAGCTGAGGGAGGCGAAGGATGGCCTCAGAAATTCCGGGAGACGTTTGGGAGAAGCGGATTGGCCCTAAAAGTAACCCACACTTTTTGAATTGACCACAGAAATGGTCCAAACCCAAAAGGTATGAGTCCAGGAACTCAGGAAGCAAGTCTGGCCTCTTACCCGCTGGGCGAGTAAGCGAGAGCAAACAGTCTTGGGGTCTCTGCCCAACACCCCAGGGATACCAAGGGCCGGAAGGCTTGCCAGCTCCAAGTTGCGTGGGTTCGCTGGAGATATCACCGGGAATTCCTTGCCAAGGTCCTGCTTGCCCGCTTGGTTCTATGCCCCAGATCTAACACTTTGCACGGAAATGTGTCAACTAAAGCAAAAAGAACCTCCGGCGCCGGTTCGGACCCGACTCCTTTCTGGGACAAGTTCGGAATACCAAGCAAAAGAAACCGCAAATCAAAAGGACGTTTGGCCATCAGAATGGTTGCGCATGACTACTTTTTCACACACACACACACGCACACATTAGATACTTCCAATCATGGGCTAGGCGGACATGACCTTTGTACCCCTATTCCAAGTACCCACTTGTTGAGGATATCATGTCAATCCTTTACTTTACCAAACAAATCTGTGCCATGGGACACCAGGTGTTCAAAAAGAGACTCTTGAACAGAAACGCTTGTTTGGAGTCTCGTGGCCATGAGAACCATGGCCATGGTGCCCCTAGGAGTTTTTACATGGGCTCTTTTTTGGGATCATGATAAAGGGAAACCAAGGGAAACCAAAGCGGCGAGCGCGATACAAATCTGATCAGGAATTTGCGAACTCACACACACAAAATCAACAAATCTGCCGAAAAGTGAAGGCGAGCGTCATGCAGGGCTGTTTGCACAGGAATGACTACAAAAGCTGATTCCGCAATCTTGGTTTTGCGACAGCTTGGATGTGTCTTCATAAGCCCAGACAAAGATACGGGCCACAGAACGAAAAGGTGCGGGGTTTCTCTTGCTTGCCCTTTCCGTCCTGAAGTACAAGGTGATCAATATGAGCAAACCAAACGGTCATCTAGGTCAACCCGTGCCTGGAGCTGGCGTGGAACTCGAAGCCCTTTGGCCGGCCTGACAGTCATTGCGATGGCCAAGGGTCCTGTGTAAACATTTGGCCGTCAAGTGAGGGGTCCGAGCAAAAAGCGAAAACGCATGGAACCTTGGAGAAACAACACAGGAAACACATGTAAAACTAGAGAACAAGCGGGAAAATGGTACATTGAGAACATGGGACAATCGATTTGCGACCTAGCCATCGCCTTTTGTGAAGCGCTTCTCAAACTTCCTGAGTGGCTCGAAGAAAGTCCGAACTGATTGTTTGCAACTGAAACTGTAGGAAACATCAAGTCCAGGGACTCAGGGAGTGAGGGTAAGGCGCCTAAAAAAACACTTCGATGCTGGAGGTCTAGGTTGTTAGGGAACTCAAGAAATCAAAAAGAAGAATCCAAAAGGAGGCCGAAAGGGAATGTGTATTTGTTCAACTGTCTAGACACCCCTATTTCACACCGAAGCTTGTTCATGACTTTTAGCATGGCAAGACTCAGACATCGTTCTGTGTGGGACAAATACGAACAATGTGTTTTGTTTCCTATGGTGCCCCAGATCCATCAAGTACGTCCCCGCCTAAGCCGGAGCTTCTCGCCAAATGACAGGCGCCCGCGACAAAGGCCAGCAGCAGGGCGAGCCTAAAGCTGCTGACTCAGCTGAAGAGAAATCAGCCAACAAATGACCAAATCTTGGTGCACCAAGGGGTACACAGAACGTTGCTCGGATTCGGTTTCGTACTTTACCCTTTACACGAAAAGTAAAGTAGATTTGGAGGAGACCGCTGGAGTGGCAACATATCCTTTGCAAAAAGCTTCCCTTGCCCTAAAAAAAAACTGCCCTTGCTTAAACCATGGTTTGAGTAGCCCTTGTTCAGTCAACCTCCTGTTGGTTTCCCTTCAAGAGGGGAGCCTGGTTTTAACACACTTCGTCAACCCGGCTGACAGTGTCTACGCAAAGCGTAAGCCTACAGAGTTGTTCCATCAAGGAGGGTGTCTCGACTGAACATGTCCAGCAACTCTCCACTGGAGCATGTGGCGTTTTACAGGAACCCGGGGATATTGGGGATACCCGGCCCTTTTTCTTCTTTTCGAGGCCGTTGAAGATGTGTGTCTTTCAGCTGTGGCTCTGACACTTTGGGAGGTGCCATGGGGAAAATAGCAGCGGTTGCAAGACTTGCTACATCTCACCGAAGCAACCTGAAAAAAACAGGTGATCACCTTTTGGAACCTTGCCTACCGGACCCAAAAAGGACGATTAAAATAAAGGATAGCAAGCCGGCGTTGGACAGAGGAACAATGAGTGTGAGGGACTTCCCCCTGTCCCTTTTTCAGACTGGAGAAGTTCCCCGAGCGTTTCCAGTGTAGGTCACGCTGCGGTAGGTTGCCCCCCTGTGGCATTCCTTCAGGTGTTGCCATGGATGGTTTCCTCTGGGTACCTAAACGATCAGAACATGAAACTTTTTGGGGGACTTCCGAAGCTGGAAATAAAATGCGATCACCTCTCAAGTCTTGTCGTCACTGTCCTTTTTGGGCTCCATGTTTACCAAGAGAGTCACACCGGTGAAAGAAGATGGCGCAATTTTCTGTGATTAAAGGGATCGTTAAGTAATTACGGGGCGTGACGAATCCCAACTCCAGATCCCCAGTGGCCACGAGGAAGAAACGGCCTTCAGGCTTCCTGGAACCCCAGGCTTCAGCAAAGACCGCCAGGTGGAGGACGCAGGGCAAGGCACCTCACAAGTCATAGCCACAGCGCCATCGCGCTGGTTTTTTCACCGAGTGGCTTTTGGTTCTAAGATGGTTATGTGTTTGTTTCTCAAAATGGTGCTTGCTATTTTTGGTTTCCCTCTAACTAAAATCACCAAACAAGGAATGATTTCACCCAAAAAGACACACCCACGTGGTGATTCAGGTGCATGCTCACTTCCTGAGTGGATGGCCAAAGCAGTAGTCAATCTTAGTGTTTACCACCAAAACGATTGTCCCAAAAAGTTTAAGTCCAGAAACTCAGGGTGTGAGTATATGGCCGTAGAGGTGAGTTTTGGTCTCCCTTTGAAAGGCAGCAAATGGCGGCAGGGTCCAAAACCAGGCCATCCCTTTGACTCCCGCCCCTCCCCATATAGGGAGTACGGTACACCCTAGAAAAACCAGGAAGTGCCATCTATGGCTGTGGCGGCTTCGGGCGCTCAACAGTCAATCTTCGCTGCATCCCCAACTCACATGCCAAAAATGATATTTTGGGGCTGCTGTGCCAGCTACATATTAGGCATTGCTCATAGTTTTCGGCCGGGGTGATCCATTTGGAGCAAACAAATACCCTGTGCTTCCAATCAGCACAGTAGGCAATCTAGTAGTTTGACCTCTAGGTTTCACATGATGGTTGTCCCTGATTCTCCCGAGTGGCAACTGGGAGCACTGGGACCTTTGGACAACAGGGCGTTATCTTTTTCGATCTGTTCGGAGGCGAGCAAGTGCCACCTTTTTAAAATGTGCGCTCGTTTGCAGGTATGTGCGCTCATTTTGCGGTATTTGCACTCGTTTTGCACTTGCCATTTCTGCTCGATTATCTTGGAGGACTGATCAGCTCGGTTTTGGGAAAATCGCTCGAAGCATGAAACAGTGTACATTTACACTAATTTGGCGGGGACCCTTGGTTTTGCACTATGTTTGGGCTCAGGGCAAAAAAACAATGTGTTTGTTTGATTCCAAGCGGTTCAACATGCATCTTTCAACATGCATCTACCGGGGAGTAGCAATTCATTGACTGAAGATACATCACGGATATTCAGGGACCCCTCCCCTGCTTAGCGCTTGCGGACCGAATTGCTCGCAAGTGCGACACGTGCCTCAATGGTTGGCGGTGACCAACCTCCCTGGCACTGGTTGCCGGGCACCTGGCGAAGTCCATATATGGCCAAGGTTGACTCCAATTCCATTCTCTTCACCCATTCCGCACAGAAACCATGTCCTTGGGGCTTTGGATGGCTTTGGAACATATGAACAGAAGGATCCCTGAACAGAATGGGAACGGCTAGAGTTCTATCAGGATGGTGACGAGGGTGTACAAGGGATGCCGCGATTAAAAGGAAAAGGCTTACCAAAACCTCCGATAGGAAGTTTGCGCGACGCCCAATTAAAAAAAACACTCGGGGTCTCCTTCTGCAAACTTCCCTGGGGCCCTCAACTAAGTCGTACAAAAACAACAATTCTAGTTGCAAGTGTTCCTTTCTGGCTTTTGGTCGTGTATTGGTCACCCCTTGGGCTCTCTTTTCCCCCCTCCATTTCGGGCATCTATGGGTCTCCGTGTCCCAGTCGTTGGCTTAAGTCTTGGGGCCCGAAGGGGAAACCCTTCACGCCCAAAGCTGCGGCGGTGAAACGCGGTCGAAGCGGGAAGCTGGCTGTTTGTCTGCAAATTCTACCCCAGTGATTCTGTTTCCCCGTAGCCTCATAACTTGCCATTATATTCCCAGTCGTGATAGATTCCATTTACAACCAACAGGGGAGAATAAAACCGCTCTTCAGCAAATGGAAGTAGGCAACCAAGGGACCCCGCTTCATAAAACAAAGAGGGCAAATAGCGGTTTCCGGCAGCTGGGATCCACTGGGTATAATCAAACCAAAAAACCTGACATAAGGGAAGCCTCTTTTCAAGGACCCAAATCACTTGGAGCTCGTTTTTCCAATCCAGAGGTATAATTGGCAGTATTCAAAACCCATGGGCAAAGTCAAAGGTGATCTTACACCTTCCACAACGCATTCCGCACAGCCAACACCAACCCTACCCGGTGCTTCCAAACGAGCCACTATAATTGGTACCTAGGTTCTTACCCCCAGCTAACACTATAGTAGGCAACCAAGGGAAACCATCCATGATAAAACCTAGAGGTAAGGAACACGAAGGCTTACCAGGCCTTGCGGTAGGCGGGCGCCCCATACCTAAGTCGCATCGGAGACCGATTTCACAACCCATGAAAAGGATCTCAAAAAGGCTAAGCAACTTGCTGCAAAATTCCAACCATAGGGACCCTGTTGATTCTCAGACATGAAATTAGCAAATTGAGGGTGCGTTTCCGTGTTTGTATGTTTGTGTGTTGTATGCTTGTGCGGTTCTTTGGTTGTGTGGTATTGTGTTTGTGCGCTTGTGTGTTTGTGTGGTTGCGTGGTTGTTACTTGGCTCGCTTTCCTTCTTTGCTTCTTTCTTGATTTATTTCTTTCGCTGGCTGGCTGGCGGGTTGGTTGGATGGTTGGGTGGCTGGCTGGTTGGTTGGTTGGTTGTGCATGTCTGGGAAGGCTGATGGAAAGCCAAAATCCAATGACAGAACTTACACATGCAGGCGTGCAAAAGCAAAACGCGCGCTTCATTTGCTTTCCTTTCACACCCGTAAGTGTCAGCAGGGGGAATCAACCAGATTGAACATCTTTAATCCACTATTCTTTCAGCAACCTCTGCTTGGCCCACATTTGGGATACATAGAAAATATTACAATCTGAGTCTGTTCCAATTTTAGTCAACGCTAAAATAGAGCATCGTTTTGAAATAGACGCCCCCCCCCCCCAATTTCTCTCTTGATGGGATTGCTGCGCGTGTCGCAGTCAGCAACCGAAAAACTCAAACGGCGCACTGAGAACTAATGCAGTTCAAAAAGTTCATGTGACACAAATACGTCGCATAACCATACCGTGGGCCACTAGCGCTTCAGCGTCATGCACTGTGGCTACCTCTAGCTCCTCGTCAAAAGCCAAAGGAGGCGTCGCCAAAAAAAACGCTGCGTGGCGACGCTATCAGAGGTCCCCTCCATCGCAGGATCTCCTCCCAGTCCAAGGCGGGGTCCTGTTGACTCCAATCTCGCCCCTGCACGCTGAAGTATTTGCAATGCAGCAGGTGATGCCGAGCGCGGGTTACCCCAGATCTTGGCCTGTGATACGAACAAAATAAGACTTGTGGATTCAATAATACGTGTTGATCTGTGGAAAAAAATGTCCAGAGGGGTGATCTCTGACCCTCCCATTCGAAGGTTGGGCTGAGCGTGGGTAGAATATAAAATAGTTTTGGGATCGGAGACCCCAGCTATTCTATTGCGGCTGGGTGTTTCCAAGGGCAAATTCCTTTTGGGGGGATCTCATCTGGTGGACTCCATCTTGGGTTGAACAGGGAAAACAACAGGAAACGGCCCATTTTGGGGTTCCCCGAATTTGAAGCACCCGGTTGCTTCTCCTTCACCCAGCAACCAAAAGGCATAACCCTATTTTGTGCCACCCAGCCTCCTCAAACGGCAAAATTTTGTGCCACCCAGCCTCCTGTTTACCTTTTCATTGAACAAGTCAGAGACGGCCTCCATGAGTGTAGGAAGGAAGCCCCCGGAGGCAACTTTGAGGGGTCAAACTTTCTTTTCAACCAACAACCCAGTTGCCCAGAGACCTTTTCGGGCTTGAACATTCTTAGCACGAGTCCATGGGGGCTTTGGCCCATGAGTCAAGGGATGGCCCCAAAAAATCACAAGCTGGCCTGGTTACATGAGCAAACACCCAAAAGCATGTTACTTTTGGTTCCAACATGTTTATACAGTTCCATATTGGCCTCATTAAACGCCCGATTAACAACAATCAGTAGAACCACTGAGCCACCTACTCAAATGGGTATGGCTCAAAAAACCGGTACCAAAATGGAATGCTGGTAAGTGGAAACATAGACCAAAACCTGCGTAACCCTAGCTCGTTAATTTTGAGCCACCTACTCAAGTGGCGAATGGGGGTGTTGGGCGCTGTGCGAATCAGGGACTGGCCATAGCGCGGTCCGGGTTGTCTCTGCTTTGAAGTAGCCTGCCTTTCCCAGCTGGTAGAATGGCAACACGGAACCCCAGCTCAACCCTTGGAGGTGTTCGCTCTTCTCCGCCAAAAAACACGTCATACATGGGTCCCTGCCTAACCCATATGATAGGGAGCCATGAATGTATTTTGACCTCTGTGCTTTACATCAAGGCTTGGACTTACCCTGTATGGGGTCTAACGAAACAAGAATCCATCCCTTGTTGGTTACCTGTGTGGAGAAAGTCAAGCCATTTAGGCTGTCAAAAGGCAAGTGGTTCCCTTCATTTTCCCCTTCAAACATCACCCCACCAAAAACAACCCTGTCCGAGAAATCAAGTTGGAGACTCCCATAGTTTTCCGGTTGAGTCTTCACATCGGCCCCCCCAAACATCCCCCAAACGGCGCTTAAATCCTTCCAAAAGAACGGACACCGCGGCTTGAAGTTTTTTTTTCACCAGGCTGCGTTCCTTGGCACACCACAGGCGCAAACCTGGCACAATGGCTTCTTCGCCTTCTTCGGTGGCCGTACTTTTGGGGAAGAACTTGTCGATTTCACCGGGGATTACAATCTCATTGTTAGCCGGTGAATTGTGAACCTGGGTTAGATCAACACTAACACTTGAATATCTAGTTCACCCAACTTGTCTATTTCACCTGGGTGAAGTCATCACATGTTGAACCGCTTCCAGAAAACACTTGCTGAGTTTAGACCGTCTTGGGTCAATTCAGGGTGCAATCGGGGTAGAAACACTCTTGTGTTTCACTTGCCCAAGGGAGCCCATCAAGCGGTCCTTCGCGCCGCTAAATCAAAGGGTTGACCTTTGACCCATGCGACAAACATGGTTCACATACCTGGAGTCTCCTTCTGACCCGAATCAAACATAAGTTGCCACCCCGTTCTTTGGGGTGACCCTATGTTCAAAGGGTCAGACGAAGACTCCAGGGTGCCAAGGGATCTGGAAAAACCAAACTCAAAACGCCCAGATTACAAAGGCTCAAGGCGGACAGGTCTTTGGCAAATGAGATTGGGGCTGTCTTTTTGTAGGAATCGGACCCCCCAACATGGTGGCTTTCCTTTTGAACCAGACCCAAAAGAGGGAATACCCTCCAAAAAAGCCACACCCATGTCCGACGGGCTGGGCTTCCCGCATGATAACCTTGGATTCATCCAGTGAAGAATTGGTCCACGCAATGTCTAAACTCTGTGGAAATGGAACATCTTCGAGAGCCTGGGGCGGTCCTTGTATCATGTTCATTTTTGGTGGGGGCTGACTTTTGCATACCGCCGATACGAATCCGAAATCGTTCTTGGGCCATCTGCTTTAACCAATAGGCGAGGCACTTGACTCCTGCGTTGAGACCGCACCAGTTGAACTTTCTATCAACATGTGCACCAAAATGTCTTGGACCAAGCAAAGAAGGCTACTCCGCATCATTGGAATGTCACTTTGCCATGGGCTGGGGTTGCCGGGGGACCCGTGAAGAATTGGAACATGTGCGCCGACTTTGTTCGGCGTGTCAGATTCACAATGACACACAACACACTACAGCCCCCCCCCACACAATCCTTTTTTTGTCCATTGCATTGTCTTGGCTTATAAATAAACCACAAAGAGGAAACAAGGTGCCACCGGACAATTGACAACACTTTCGAATATCAAAAAACCATGCTTCCGACGTCAGCAAAAGGTCCAAGACAGGCATGACTTCCACAGCCAGCAGCTTTTGACCCATGCCAGCTGCAAATAGAGTGCGCACTTGAACTTCTGCGGAGGGCAGACAGTGATCAGCATCTTGGTTGCAATCAATCTTCCCAGCTGACTGCTCCAACAAATTGGCCATCAGCCATTCAAATGAGTCATGGCGCGACCTCCACATGCATGAATTCAGGCTGAATTTTACACCAACCAACCAGGCTTTGCAGAGCAGACAACTTCATGAGGTCGCACAGCCGTTTTGTGTGAGGTCTCCGAAGTTGCTGGATTTGCTGTCGCATGCGGAACTGAGGAAGTGCCCCAAATGGCTCCATGTTGGTTCTCCAAAAAAGCAAGAAGCCAGCGCTCATCAGGATCCCTAGCTTGCACTGCGCGCGATGCTTTCAATCACCTGCGCGGCATTTTTGCCCCGACAGTCTCAGACTGCGATGTCCAAAGGTGTGCAAAGTTGCGGGTGTGTCAGCCAGGCAACCAGAAATCAGCCGAATGCAATGGCAACCGATGGCATTCGTGCATTGCGAATCGCCCCACTGCGCAGCACTTCGCGGCATTTCTGCCCATGGCAGAAACGCAAAATCGCCGTGTCCTGCGGCTCGCGCATCACCGTCCGTCCAGGCCTGTCTACCGGGAGCCGGATCGCACAAGGGGCGACCCTACTACACGATCCAGCGGTGGACATCAAATTGCGAGCCATGCTGCTTGCCGGCTGCTTCAACTGCCACTTCTTGCTGGCAACTTCACGCGGGCGTGTCAGTTGCTCTTGAGAGAAGCCAGGTCCTTGTCGTTAGCCTCACTGGACCTTGGCTCCACATCCGATCATGTTCGAACAATGTTGGTTCTAGCCACCATCTAATTCCAAACAAAAGCACGTCTTCTCGTTTCCAAGCCGATCACGACCATAGCTGTGAGGCTTCAGTACCAAATAGAGAGGGTGTGGCCTTTCTCCCGTCAGGGTACCACTCGGGTGGAAAATGAAACATGCATGTTCTTCCATTTGCATCTGGAAAACTAACACATTTCCAGTACGTGCTGATAGATTCCCTCGAAAACCAACAGGGGGGAAGAAAAACTATTCTTAAGCAAATGGAAGTTTCTGAGGGTGCTTCTTTTTGCGGCTACCCAGCTGATTCCCATCTTTCCAACAATGAAAGCTTGGGCCCATTTCTGAGGTACACCTTGGGATAAACGCCAAATGTTGTGATTTTGCTTCATTTAGTCTACCCAAACGAGTACAACATAGTTGTGCAGGAGACCCCAGGATAGGAGCATAGGAGGGAGCCTTCAAATGATGGTAGTCCGCCATTCCACTTCAACGGCCCAAGCACGTTAGGAGGTACTGGGAATGCTTGGGCGGGATGCTTGGAAGAAGCGTCCAAAGAGGTGTGCAAGGGGAAACCCACAAAGTAGGTGGTTTCCTTTTGGATCCCTTTTAACCCACCCAAAAGAAGGCTACCCTCAACAATCACACCCCCAAATCGGTCCTCTGATCTTCATGGAAAGGCCAAACAAAGGTCCAAACATATCCAAACAGAGTTTGTTTGCCTGCCACTCAAATGTAAAATGCTCCCAAAAACGTATCAAGCAAGCAATCGGGAGTCCTTGGAAAGAGAGGCACAAATATAATATATATATATATATTATATGTACGGCAGTGGCTCAAAAAAGACACCCGAAATGGCACCTGGTAACAGAAAAATAACCCGTAGCACGTTCATTTTGAGCCATAATGTTGACCCATATTCATGAACGACTGTTTAATGCTAGGGGGTGTCCTTGGCATTAGTGGGGAATGATTACTTT